GACCAACTGGACACCATCACTGACCGGTTAGATAAAGTGGAACATGTTTATTCGCTATGGCGTGGTACAGCATGGTGGTTAATTGGCACGGTCCTGAGGTGACATGAAACTTCCTGGCATCGATCGATGATTGGTTGGGAGGCCTCTGCTTAAGTCATGCTAAAGTTGTGCTCGCCACAACATTGAGCACAATACCTTAAACACCGCGTCACCGCTACTCTAGTAAAAAGACTAATCAATCTGCACCTATTTTCAGATCCAATGATGTCGAAAACTTGAGTTTACTTGTTTTGGCTCGGGAATATTTTGGAGTCCCCAAATCACCAATATAGTCTTTTACAAGTCATGAGATATTCTATCAGGTGGATTAAAGTTTTACCTCAAATCTGAAATTGAAATTTAATTCTGCTGCATTTTATGAGATTGGTGGAAATATTTTGCAAGATAAGCAAATATTAAAGAGCAATTGTAGATAGGCAAAAACTTGGCAAAAATTAAAAAAAATACCTGAGGTCGTCGTTTTGTTATAATGATAGCTTTATCTTCAGCAGCAAGTGATATTGAATGAGTTTTAAGTTAGCTTTATCACCAATAACGCTACTTTAGTTATCTGGGACATGCCTTTAAAATTGTAATGGTTAACAAGAAGAGGCAATCCTTCACAAAGTAGAGGACCGACGGTGAGATGGGACAATGATGGCAATGATGGATAATGGCTTCCCAGTATCTCTGGGTTTCCATCGTTGTCTTTAGGGCTGGACACCGAATCAGTTGGGTCTTCACCATTTCCTCCTGTAGGTTACTCAGGGGGCATGTTGGTTGAGTGTGTACTCCTAATCTGTGAAGGTGTTTTGCCAGGCAATCGCGTCCGGTACGTAGTCCGAACTCAGCAACGGCTTCGATTCTTGGCAATTCGGCTATTTCGGAGAATGCCACTGTCCACTGTTTGTCCTTTGTTCGAGCCTTAAGTTCGTTGCACCTTGAGGTCATGTGTTCTCTCCTGATTAAGGCCTTCATTTTGTGGAAAGACATCGGCCGGTCCATGCATTGCAATATCGTTGTCCCCTTCTTAGCAAGTGTGTCAGCAAGCTCATTACCTTTAATGCCACAGTGACCAGGAATCCATTGTAGAATCACTGTTTGGTTTTTGTTTCTCTCGGAAACTGATAGAGTTTTTACATTCGTATATCTCGGGTGTTTAGGGAGGCTCTCTGTTTCCACTTGAGTTTATTGCTGACTGTGAGTCCGAAAGAATTATTGCTTTGGTGAATTTCGTATCCAGGCAACATAATTGGCACAGTGCCATCTTAATGGAATCTATTTCTCCTTCGAATGCGAATCTACTGTGTCCCACTTCTGCGTAGAAAGAGAATAGTTCAGAGTAAACACCTGCACCAGCCTTTGTTTGGTTTTCTATGTATGACCCAACAGTAAAGACTTGGAGCCTTTCCATGTATGACCCATCAGTGAAGACTTGGATCCATTGATCTGCGTTTGTCTCAAGGGCCAGTGAGCGCATTTGCTCTGGAGGAACAAAGGGCCAGTGAGCGCATTTGCTCGGGAGGAGTGTTTGATAAAGAAGTCGAGCAGTTGGGTGCAACACACTACATCAGTGTCTGACGTCGAGCAGTTGGGTGCGACACACTACATCAATGTCTGCTTTTCATGGGGAGAGAGAGGCTTTTTGGTTTGTCATCTCAATATGTTCATGGGGAGAGAGAGGCTTTTTGGTTTGTCATCGATTCGTATCGCTTTCTTCAGTTCTATCGCTTTCTGTATTAGACCAGATGATGCTTTTTTCAGTTCTATGGCTTTCTGTATTAGACCAGATTACTCATGGGTGCTGAAGAACTTATCCATGGGAATGTACAGTCTAGCTTGCGTTTTCAGATGTCTTGGTCTATTCTCATAGGTGCTGGAAGAACTTATCCATGGGAATGCGCAGTAGATTCTCATACGTTATCCATGGGAATGCGCAGTAGCTTCTCAGACAGGATCACTATCCATGGGAATGCGCAGTAGCTTCTCATACAGGATCAACCCTTATCCATGGGAATGCGCAGTAGTTTCTCATACAGGATCAAGGACATGGGAATGTGCAGTAGCTTCTCATACAGGATCAAGGCCGGGAACATATTGTAGTGCTTCCTGTAACTAGGAGCATGGCATGCACAACATATTGTGGTGCTTCCTGTAACTAGGAGCATTACATCGGGGTGTTGATTTTACCCCTCCAGTAATTAGTCGTAATTCTTGGTAGTGTGCCTTCTCGAGGGGTTTGAGAGTCACCTCTTTGGCCGTCTTGAGTGGTTTGAGAATCGCTTCAGAGGCTGTAATGAGTGGCTCACAGCAATACAACATTATTGGTTAAACAAACATCTTGTAGGTGGTGATTAGGGTTGAGCGTGCGCAGCCCCATATGCTACCAGCAAGACGCTTCAGTACATTCAGTCTATTGGAGATTCGTTCTGCTATTTTAGCAATGTGGCTTTTCCATGTTAGCTTTGTGTCAAACGTCATTCCGAGCTAAGTGAACTCATTGATTTTTTCTAGGGAAGTAACCTTGTGCCTTAAATGCTGGTTTATGCTGTGACGGGCCAATGAAATGTTTGGAATGCGGTTTTCGCGGTGTTGATAACCCCTCCAGCTTGCTAATAGCTTAAGTGCATATTTTAGGGCACTTTCTGTCCTCTCCTGAGCGTTTTTCTTAGAGATGGAATACCATATAACAATATCATCTGCATAAAGAAAGCACTTGATGCCTGTGACTGTCTGTACCAGTTCACCTATGCCATTGATGAAGGCGTTGAAAAGAGGGCAGCTTGTGACAGCTCCCTGTGGAAGGCCTGCTTGTAAAAGATTGGATTTTGATAGAGCATTTTCGTATCTGACTTTATATGACCTTTGTCCAATGAATGCTTTTATCCAGTTTAGCATGTTATCCTTTATACCAATCTTCGTCAATTTCAAAATTAGCTTCTCTTTCCATGCAGCCTTTAGAGTATTTCTTGTATCAAGGGCATCTTTGATATGTTGGGAGAAAGTGGCGTCTTGTTGGTTAGTTGATCTTTGTGGCCAAAACCTGCTTGTTCATTTCTAAGAATATTGTTGGTCTCAAGGAACCAGGTCAGCCTTAACCATTCTTTTCATAAGTTAAGCCAACATGCTTGTGAGGGAGATAGGCCTAAAGTTGTCAAAGTCAGTATGCTTGTGAGATGGGCTTATAGTCGTCAAAGTTGCTAGGGTCTTTGCCTTTTTCAGCATTGGTATTACTATGGCAACTTTCCATTGGGAAATACTAGCAGTGACTGGTTTGTGACCAGAACCAGGATCGTCACTTATTTTGCAGTGTGTATACTCGCTGATGTTCTGGTTCCATTGTAGTACAAATAAGTAGCAGGATCCTCATTGCTATAAATAAGTTCTAGAGAGTTGCTGTTTAGCATGTCTTCGATTTCCTTTCCAGATATGCTTATTTTGTTATAGTCTCATCTGGCGGAATGGGTGTTGAAGTCTCCTAATACTTTAGTTTTGAGTGAGATATTCAGAAGATGGAAGTTGGTCATATTCTGGGGTGGATTATAGACCACGTATATCTTGAAGTGGTTTTGACTTTTTCAAACATTTAAACTGTTTTTTTTCGTATATATCTTGCATCGAGCCCATACTCTCAAATGCTGAGTAATATACTTTTGGCGTATGAGTATACGTTGTCCAGGGTGCACCACGTGAAGGTAAGTCTATCGCACACCCCGTCAACGGGAAGCTAGAGGTAAGCAAATCATTGTATGCATTTCGGTCTTAACAATGGTTCCACTTATTTCCCTTTTCTTTATATTAAAGACCTTTGATAAGGAAATTATTTTGTTCCAAACTAATGATTTGAAGAGCTTACTAGGTCAACTTAATATCTATTTTTAACATCACCAAGTTAATATTTCTGCGATCACCAGATACATAGCATGTTGTTGAATATTTGTTTCTTCTTGCTCTTGTAGTGGATTGCCTCAATAACAAGCCTTGACTATTCTCAGTGATCTCTATGACAGATTCCCCTAATTTCGGAAAGGCTCCCAGAATTAGCTTAACTACTGCAAGATTTACGATCACATTAGCGCACCGAATCAAATAAGTTGAGTGATACCA